TACATATATTAATTTAATCACGTAATTAATTATTAAATTGATCCGATATTTTACATACTTATATGAGATTAAAATTAAGTTTATTAAAATTTTTAGAGAAGGCAATTTTAATTATAGATATGTTAGGATTAGGTCGATTAATATTCAAAAATTGAGTCCTAGGTTCATAAACCATAANCAATTTTAATTATAGATATGTTAGGATTAGGTCGATTAATATTCAAAAATTGAGTCCTAGGTTCATAAACCATAAGTTATGAAAAAAAATACTATACAAAATTGTTTTTAATGCAATAAAATGATAATAAAAATTTTAATGATTTTATTTAATAAAATTATTTTTTAAATATTGCAATTGCTTATAAAATAGTCAAAAAAATATCTTGGACTAGTATTAAATATAAAAAGTAGACTAAATATTATAAAACAAATTAAAATTTTTATGTTCCATTTATTAACAGAGCAAAGAAAGAAGTTAATTAAATAATAAAAAATTAACTAATTTGATTTAAGAAAACAATTCTTTATAGTAAAAATTTAAATCCATATATTACAGGAGACATTTTAAATTTAAAATTGAAGTTAAAAAATAATAATAATAGTAAAGTTGTCTACCTTAAGTATCAAACTTGTTGATTTTTTTTTTTTTGAAAGATATCTTATGTAAATTGCTTTTGAACTATAATTTAATCAATGTAAATTACAATATATATTTAGTTTAAAATAAAATGATAAAAAAAATGTATAACTTCCATCAAACATAACAACAATTTCAGTTCAAAAAGAATAAAACAGAAAGGCTACAATATTTTAGTAGAAGAGGTACTTGAATAATGTGTAACAAAAATTGACTAAGCTGATGATATAATGGACAGCATATATTTTATTAATACAATTTATTTACAATTCTAATAAGCGATAAATAACAAATAGAAAAATAACCCAACTGGACGGTCTATTAATAGCAATAATTTTAGTATATTTGAGCGACAATTTCAAACAACCGTTTTCAGCTAATAGAGCAGATATTATAAAAGCGGCGACAAATAGAAATAAAAGAACAGGTAATGAGCAAACTGGCAACGTGGTATTAGTAAGCGTAAGGAACAATTTAAACGCTCTGTCCTTTATAATTATGGAGATCTATTGAAGCAGCGTTGTCAGTTTATTGGGAGCAAAGTCACGTTCTATCATGTAATATATTTATTGTACTATACATTATTGACACTTAATTTTGTTCATCTGAATATATGAATTTATCGACCTTACTACTTGTGTTTATTTGCTTCTGTACACATTTTCTCAAATATCTGTCCATCGAAATAATTAAATAATTAATTTTTTGCGCATTGTTTTGTAATTTTCAACTTATTAATGATCATTTTTATCATTAGACGTTACACAGCCGTGCATTTCAATCTGCCTAAAGATAAAATTACTAATAAATTCTTTGTTTTCTATATTAGACAAATTCTTTGTCTAATAGTTATTATCGACCACTCATTTTTTAGATTAGAATATTTTCTATTTTATAAATTAGTTAAAAATGTATATGCCATTAAAAAAAAAATAAAGTGTATCCAGTGCTCGAATTGGAGGGGTGCGCATGGGGACGTAGCTCCTCTACTTTTTTTTAAATTTTTTTGCGCACCCCAACTACTTTTTTTTATTGGGACGGGAGGACGGTGGAAAATACCACCTCTTTTTTTTTAAATATTAGTATGATAATGAAATATGATTTATTAATAAATACTAAATAAAGTAATGAGTAAAAAAAAAAAAAAAGGTCTTCAAAATACTAGGGACGCAGTTTTCAAATTGTTAAGTTGAGCTCCCCTACTTATTTTTGGCCAATTCGAGCACTGAGTGTATCCCTATAAGTGATAAATGACGAACTAAGTATTTAATCATATAGAAATTGAAAGATAAATAGTACTAAACAAAGCCAAATAAAATATTTTTAAGATTATTAGTATAGGATCACTCTTTAAAACTATTAAACAACATTTAAAAAATATTTTTTGTAATATTTTACACAACTTTTACGTAACAGTTTTATACATTTATTAATTTTCACAGTTTTGTAAGCAATTATTTATATTTTTTAAATTTAAATTAAAAGTTATTACAGTGGAGAACCGTTTAAATTATTATTCATTACATTATACATCTAATCTTAAATATAATATAAAATTTAAAACTTCTATAAAATATAACAAATATTTCTGCTAAAAAAAAAAACAATAGAACAACTTTAGTGTAGTAAAAATGGTGCTTGAATAATTTCAAATTTTATATTAATAGTTATTGCATAATCAATTAAATTATTATAAATTTCATTATATATATTAAAAAAATTATAAAAAAAAATTCAAACATAATAAATATTTCTGCTAAAAAAGAATAATTTTAATATAGTAAAAATGGTGCTTGAATAATTTGTACCAAAAATTGTCTAAGCCGACATAATAAACAATATACATTTCATAAATACAATTTATTTACAATACTAATGGGCAATAAATATCAATTAGAAAATCAACTCAACCGGACGGTTTATTAACAGCAATAATTTTAGTATAGTTGAGCGACAAATTCAAATAAAATGTAAGTTAATAAGGAGCACAAAATATTTTTAAAATGATTAGTTTAGGAAAAATTTATTGGTCAATGATAAATCAATCACTCTAAAATCTAATTGAACAATATTAAAAATAATCTTTAGTAATATTACACTCAATTATTATGTAACAGTTTTATATATTTATAAAGTTCATAATTTAAAAAATAGTTAATATTTTTTAATTTTCAATTACAAATTATTGGAATTCATACTGACTAAATTATTATGTCTTACATTATACATTAATCATAAATAAAATACAAAAAGAAAATTTTAAATTTCTGTCAATAATGACAATTTTCTGCTAAAAAAAGAATAACTTTAATGTAGTAAAAATGATGCTTGAATAATTTGTACCAAAAATTGTATAAGCCGACATAATAAACAGCATTCATTTTATAAATATAATTTATTTACAAATCTAATGTGCAATAAATAACAAATAGAAAAATAACTCAACCGGACGGTGTATTAATAGCAATAATGTTAGTAGAGTTGAGCGATAAATTCAAACAATCGTTTTCAGCAGACGAGAACAAATATTTTAAAAACGGCGACAAATTCATTCATAAATTCCATGGTCAGACATATGAGAAAATGAATATTGAAATCAATCAGGTCGTAAGTGAAAGCGTCAAATTCAAATAAATGATATGTTATAAGCAAACCGGCAACGCTGCTTTGATAAACCTATACGATTAAAAGTGACAGAGCGTTAAAAACGTCTTACACTTATTATTTCGACGTTGCCAGTTTGCTTATAAACTTTTTCATAAGAGCCGTTTATCTTGCCATTCGACAGCCAAATTACGCTCTGTCGAACAATATGTTCACTGTAATACGGCGGCGCGGCCGGAGCCGCGACGCCGCCAGATTCGAGTCTGTTTTGAGCACTCTAATTTGTTCAAAGTAAACGTGTCGGCCCGCCGACGTCACTCGGTGAAGGGCAACGCGCGACATGATTGGAGTAGGCGGCCGCCTCCCGCGGCGGCGGGACCGTACGACGACGCTGCTGTAACATACCCTTATGATAGTTTGTTCGACCGGTAATTTGAATTTGTCGCACTTACTTCTTGTAAGACTCAGTATTCATTTTCTCAAATACCTGTCCGTCAAATTAAAAATAATCAATACATTTGTCTCCAATTCGTTGTAAAGTTTTAAATTTATTAATCTAAAATTGTGTTCTTACAGATACATAAGTATTGGATATGACTATTTTTATAATTAGACTTTTCACGCCTGTGCATTTTATCCGCCTAAACATAAAAATTGTAATAATTTCCGAAGTACTCGTATATGTATGATCGACTAGTGTTTTTTTTAAAATTAAACCATCGTCTTTTTATAAGTAAGTTAAAAATCTATATTGTCAGCTAAAAAAAAAAGTTGGTATTCTTATAAGGGATAAAGAACGAATCTTAAAAGTATTTAATCATTTATAAATTGAGATAAATAGTACTCAACAAAGTAAAAAAAAAATATTTCTAAGATTATTACTATACCCCAGGACACGCAACTGAGTGATTATTAAACAATACAGGATCTTTCTATCTTGTCATTAAGCCGCCGAGTCACGTTCTCTTTTGCAGTGTATTAACTATATTATATCATTATGATCCGTTATTTGAATTTGTTGTACTTATTGACTCGATTGACTTCTGTATTCATTTTCTCAAATAGCTGTGCTTTGAATAAAAAAAAAAATTAATAAATTTATCGTCAATTATTATTTAAATTCAACTTATTGCTCTAATATGTTTAGTAATATTTCACACAATTTTTATATAACAATTTTATTCATTTCTTAAGTTTAAAATTTTGAAAAAAAAAATATGATTTTAAATTTTATATTAAAAGTTATTGTAGTGCATAATCAATTATTATAAATATACATTACACATATAATCTTAAATAGATTATAAAAAATAAAACTTCTATCAAACATAATAAATATTTCTGCTAAAAAAGAATAATTTTAATGTAGTAAAAATGGTGCTTGAATAATTTATACCGATATTGACTAAGCCCTCATAATAAACAGCATTCATTTTATTTACAAATCTTATTGGTAATGAATAACAAATAGAAAATAACTCAACCGGACGGTCTATTAACAGCAATAATTTTAGTAGAATTGGGCGACAAATTCAAACAATCGTTTTCAGCAGACGGGAACAAATATTTTAAAAACGGCGACAAATTGAAATAAATTGTAATTTAACACGCAGCGTGTAGAATTCATAAGCCTTAAGATAGATTTCAAAGCTCTGTCCCCTATAAGTATACAGACTTATGGAAGCAACGTTGCCAGTTTGCTTATGAACTAAAATCTCATCCACGGGACACGAACGAACGCAACTGACTGACTATTCAGTAATCTAGGATTTTTTTTTTGTATCTTACCATTCGGCCCCTAAGTCACGTTCTCTCATGCAATATATTCTTTGTGCTATATATTTATGACAATTTTATTTTGTTCATTTTGATTATTTGAATTTATTAACCTTACTACTTGTGACGATTGACTTCTGTACTCATTATCTCAAATATCTGTTTATCGTAATAACATATAAATAATTCATTTGTTTCTATTGTTATGTAATTTTCAATTTATTAATGACCATTTTTATCATTAGACATTACACAGCCGTGCATTTCAATCTGCCTATAATCTGATAAAAATACTAATAACTTCCAAATTCCTTATCTAGTAGTTATTATCGACCACTCATTTTTTAGATTAGAATATTTTCTATTTTATAAGTTAGTTAAAAATGTATATGCCATTAAAAAAAAAATTAATTGTATCCCTTAAGTGATAAATGATGAACTAAGTATTTAATCATATATAAATTGAAAGATAAATAGTGCTAAACAAAGCCAAATAAAATATTTCTAAGATTATTACTATACCCCATGTTAGTGTAGTAGTATAGGCTATAGACTATAGTTCACAGTTTTGTAAATAATTGTTTATAGTTTTAAATTAAAAATTATAATTTTTTACAGTGCATAACCGTATAAATTAATATTTTGTAATTTATATTACAACATATTTTTAGTCTTAAATTAAATTTAATAAGAAAATTTCTATCAAGTATTACAAACATTTCTAAAAAAAAAGAATAACTATAATGTAGTTAAAGTGGTGCTTGAATAATTTATACCGATAGTGATTAAGCTCTCATAATAAACAACATACATTTATAAATACAATTTATTTACAATACTAATGGGCATACATAAGGAATAGAAAAATAACCCAACGGGACAGTCTATTAATAGCAATAATTTTAGTATAGTTGAACAACAAAACAAACAACCGTCTTCAGCAGACAGAACAAATATTTTCATAACGGCAACAAATACCAATGATAAATGAGTTAATAGGGGAACTGGCAACGTGGTGTTCATAAGTGTTAAGAACGCATGTAACGCTCTGCCACTTTTATTTATACAGACTTACGGAATCAACGTTGCCAGTTTGTTAAGAACTAATTTCTATATAACGGGACACGAAACAACCCAACCGAGTGACTATTGAGTAATATAGAATTTTTTCAGTCTTACAATCGGACGTCAAGTCACGTTCTCTCATACAATATATTCATTGTACTACACATTAATGACACTATTTTCATCTGATTATTTGAATTTTTCGTTCTTATTACTTAACTTGATTGACTTTGATATTAATTTCCTTAAATTAATTTATATTTAAGTTTTAAATTTAATATTCTACAATTGCTCTCTCATAGTGTGTATTAGTATAAATATTTTTATAATTAGACATATTTTGGCAGCGTATTTTAACCCGTTTAATATAAAAATAGTAATAATTTCCGAAGTTCTGATTCAAAAATTATATTTATAATATAAGTATTACATTTTTATCTTAAAATGTAACAAATAAAAATATTTTATTTGCAAAAATATTTATTATGTATGATAGAACTTTTAAATTTTCTTTTTACATTTTATTTGAGATTATATTTATAATAATTTAATGAGTTATGCATTCCAATAATTTTTAATTGAAAATTTAAAAATATTATTAATTTTTTTATTTATGAACTTCATAAATGTATAAAACTGTTGATTAAAAATTGCTTGAATTATTACAAAAAATTTTTAAAGATTTCATTTAATTAGATTTATAGAGTGATTCATATTTTTTGGCTTTGTTCAGTACTATAGATCTTGCAATTTAGAAATAGTTAAATACTTTTTAGGTTCATCTTTTATACCTTATAAGAGTACCAACTTTATTTTTTTTAGATGGAAACATAAATTTTTAACTTAATTATATAATAGAAAATGATCTAATTAAAAAAATTACTGGTAAGTAATAATCATTGGACCAGTACTTAACATTTAATGATAAAAATAGTCATAACCAATCACAAATATATTAGAGCAATAAATTAAAAACTTCATAACAAATTGGCGACAAATTCAAATAATTAAATCAAATTTCAATAAACTGTTTTCAGCAATGGAAAAAATATTTTGAAAACTCCAAGATATTTGAGAAAATTAACGCCTCAGTGTTAATTTACTTCAGTATTTATTTCCTCAAATATCTATCCATCTATTCTTAATAATTAATAAATTTACTGCCAATTTATTGTTTAGTTTTTAATTTAGTATTCTACAATAGCTCTCTTGTGGTATAAAAGTCATTGGATTTTATCATTACACATTTTCGGACGCGTACTTTTACTCGCCTATGTATAAATATTTAAATAAGTTACAAAGTACTGGTCCAAAAATTGTTATCGTTCAGTCATTTACTTAATTAAATAGTGTCTATTTTTTAAGCTAATTAAAAATAAAAACTAGTAATATTATAAAGGATAAAGAACGGATCTATAATTTATTTAACTGCTTATAAATTAATATTATATTAATTATATCAAAGCCAAAAAAATATTTTCAAGGTTATTATTATTTTAGGAAAAACTTAGTGGTCAATGGTAAATCTATCACTCTTAGTTTTGGATGTGATTACAGAGGTTAAAAAATAAAAATATTTTTACGTTACTGTATAATCCCAAGTTGCAAAAGCTTAGGATCTTTCAAAATATATAAAAGCGTATAGCCCTGAATATTATATATTTATTTACTGCTCATAAATACATATTATTAGGGGTGCCATGTAAAACCGACACGGAATAAATGTAAGTGACACAATATTTCAAGATTAAAAATTGACGTAGAGCTGTTTATTCTCACTAACAAATATAACACACAAAAAGGAAAAACAAGAATAATGCACAAGATCGAATTAGTTAACCAGTTTCCAATAGCGTAGTTGGTTGACGACGTGTGAGAAAAAATAAGCGATATTAGAACGATGCTTGTCATAAAGTGTAGCGAAGAAGACTTCTACTCATGTTTTAAGATTATATGTAGTCTGTATAGGTGTTCAGTAAATAAGCAACTGGGTTTCTATTGCTCTCATTGTTTTTAATAATTGATCTGTTTCTTTACTTACTGAACATTCTGAATAGCAAATACACCACAAACTTCATATAGTCAGTGATATATTTGCGGCGGATTGTCGTTGGGCGTTAATCGTTCCCGCCAAATCTGAATAAGGTCAGTTTTTCATTTCCGCCAAACCAATAGTTTATACCTGTTTACAAATAGAAGCTTGAGAACCACTGGTTAAAATACTTACCCAAATATCCCGATATAGATTATCTACTTTTTATTTAATCGAACTTTTTCCTTTTCTAATATTGTTAAATAGTAGTGCATTGATAATCAGTATATCGATAAATATTTAACCATTCTATATATTTTATTTTTTAAATTAATATGTCATTTGAATATATCAGAAGTAAGCAGGAACTACAAATGATTTTCTTGGACACTATTGAAAATTTTTAATCTTCTCATAGGAAAATGTTATTTGGTTTCAATATTACGTTTTTTAATTATTTTTCTTCATCTCATAAATAATAAAATACCTTAACTTTAATTTTCTTTAATGATTGAAAAAAAATTGAAAATTATTTTATTCTTATCATCATTTTTACCGGTGAACTATTTTTCTGTTAATAGTTGTTCAACAATAGTTAAATCAACAATTTAAAAATAAGAATTCTCTTCCAATAAAGAAAATTAAAGTTTTTTATGCTTGAAGGGACGAATTACTGTGAATATTATTTAATTAATTATAATTAGAATACATAATTATATGCACTAAAAATAGCCAAATATAATGCAAATATGTGCAAAAAAAAAAAAAACAATAAAATATGAGTTTAATAAATTTTTCTTCTTAAAAAACAATTTTAATATATTATTAATTGTGCTCTAAAACTTAGTTATTTAATAAAGTATAACCTTTAATATTGACTCGGAGGCCTTTATTGATCGATCGGTTCGATTCAATACTGTCGAGTTATACACATTTTCGTCCTCTCATACAAGAATTTTGTTTCTGAAACTACTATTTCCTAGGTGACCACACTGGGTCACCATAGAAAATGAAAATCTTAACATTTTTTAGCTGAGAGGACAATAAATAATATTAAAAAATTATTATATTATAGAATTATGATCATTAGCGTAGTTATCATGAAAGCGCTGTGGTGGCTTCAGCTCTCATAATTAAAGAAAATTTTTGGGGAAAAGTGATTGATAAAGAAATGTGGTAAAACTTTCTATTAATATATATATATATTTATATATCTTCTACTGCTTGAAATTTTTACGGATGTACCCACGTTTTCAGTAATGATCAGATGGTTCCAGACTCGTTGCAGAGTCTATCTTCAGATCGATAGTTACAGGCTCTTGGTTGTAACTATACTGTCGGCTTAGCTTGTTTACGGTATGTATTTATATGAGCTGATAATTGATAACATCGATGTTGTTTATCTGTTGTATGTCAGTTTGTTGTTTACATCCGGTTTTTGTTGTTGTTTATGACATTCTTGGCATTTAACTCTTCTTTTTCTACACTGGCAATTTTCTGTTATTTAATTGTAGTTTTTTCACACATTAAGATATTTTATTTAGTCTATCCATCTTCTATAATGTAATTTTCTGGACATTTTTAGCAAGACTCGATTACCTATCATACTTAATAAATAACTTAATGTGTGAAAAACTACAATTTACAGAAAATTGCCGGTGTAGAAATAGAAGAGCTGAATGTTGTAAACAACAATAAAAACAAAACCCGGATGTAAACAACAAATTGACAATTGTCAAAAACAACAGATAAACAACATCGATGTTATCAGTTATCAACTGACATAAAAACATACCATAATCAAGCAAAGCACACAGTATAGTTACGACCACGATAATGTAACTATCGCTCGGAAGATGAACTCTGTAACGAGTCTGGAACCGTTAGCTCATAACTATAAATATACACAGAGTGATTTATTAAGAATAAGACACTCATTTTCTCGGTAACAATTGAAAATTTTTGGTAAGAAAAATATTGTTTGATTCAAAAAACTCTACAATAATATGTAGTAAAAACATGATTTTGTTCATTCCTTCAAGGTTAAAAAACATTAACTTGAATTTTCTTAAATGAAAATCCTTATTTTGAATTTGTTATGATTGAAAAAAAAAAAATACAAACAATTTCGTTATTATAATTTTTTTTTTCGATCAACCGTTTGTCTGTTACAGTTTGTTAAAGTTAAATGATTTTGGATTAAATTTCTATTGTTATTTTAATGTTTTGAATACAGAAGTTACTATTTTTCTATGGTGTAACTAATTTTTATTGACCAAGATATGACAAGTGAGATAGCAATAATAATGTACAATGCACTAATTGAGAGATAATAATAATAGATTCAAATCGGGACTTAACTATATTATTATAGCACAGTCCATCGGTTTGTAAGGCAATCTGTAAAACTAAAGAATCAATTTATTTGAAAAACCAACCCTTCGCGTATTATAGACTGTAATACTATAATTTATAGTGACTATTAAAATAATCGAATACTACGATAATGTTATCGAAATCATTGCTTAGACAGAGTGATCTTTATTTTTGTTGACGGATACTTATTTAAAGTTGTAGCATAACCTCAAACTGAATTGAGTTAAATACTAATTCGCCGCGTTACTACAATCCCGCTTGATTAAAGATTCTTGTTCATTATTCAATAAGCTTTAACGTAGCCTTAGAAAACTGAATTGAGTAATAAATTAACTCGACATCTGTATATAAACTGGCGTGATCTAACGTTTTTGTATATTAATTATAAGTTAACGTATTAATTATTAATTATTTTATTTATATATCATTACAATTAATAAATTATATTTGAAAGTTTATTGAGGTCATTTAAGTAAAAAAATGTCAAATAATAGGTAAGTACAATGGATTACGAACACAAAGCTTATATATTGATCATTTTTTTTTATATTATATAGCCACAAGTAAAATTATTTATTCTGGAAAATTTATGAAACAAATTACTTAAGAAGATATTTACATTTTTGGACATGTCTCTGCTAAAAGACAAAATTGCTAAGAAGTTATACCTAAATTAATGAAAACCAATCTTTTTTCTCTTTGAGAAAAATGAATTTTGCTGTAGTGTGTTTTATTACTTAAAAAGTAAGTACACATAATGTGATAATAGATGTGCAGTATAATTAGGGTCTGATTTAGGGGAAACTAAGGGCTTTAAAAGTATAAGTTGATGATCTTTTTTTTTGCTTATATTACATCAAAATGATCATTGTAATCTTGATTTTTTTATTAATTATTTTCCATCTATGAACCTATTACCCAAATATTATTAATGAGTATAATATATTAAACAATATTGGTATATTTTATATAATAATTTTGTAAACTAACGTCTAGCTTAACTATTATAAATACATTTTCTTTATTAGTTAACAATTTATTTAGGTATGGATGATAATAAAATATTATACATGTCTAGCAATTATTAGATTTTGTATAACTGCAATTATTATAAAATAAAACATTATTTTGAATGCAATGATTGGATAAGCTTAATTTTATACAACAAAGCAACTACAAGTACTCTGTAAAAATATATGATAATTTGCAGAAATTATAATTATTATGAATTGCTAAATTGAAATGAATGTAATTTTAAAACTGATTTTAAAATTTTATCAAAAAAAAAAATGTAATCTCAGTTAAATTTAAAGAAATTTTTTTAAGTATACTAAATTTCAATTGTTTTGTTAAACATATTAATTTTTCTAGTTAAAGAAACAAATTTGATTTTAGGAATTAGCTTAGATGTAAAAAAAAATAGAGTTGTTAAAAACTTAAGTTTAATGTGTATGCATCAATCATATTTATAAGTATTTTATTTTTTCAGTTGTATGAAAATTGAACTATGACTTAATTGAAATATAAGTTAAAATTAGTATTTAATTTTAATCAAATTTGATTTTTAATTTGTAGTTTTAACTCTGGCAGTGATTTTAAATGAAATGTTGTATGAGTCTAATTTGTGTATGACAATAATTGTGAAATTACATAATTGGAGTATGGGAAAAAGTGAAATATTTAGTAATTGAAATAAAAAATAATAATTTTATTTATAATAAAATATATACTCAGAATTTTTATTACATTAATCAATTTAAAATTTCTTCACTTTTTTTAAATAAAAGATTAAGGCATAATCAAATAATACATTTTCAACTTTAGGCAAAAAATAATAATTACCCAAAGCATATACTTAATTAAAAAATTGTATGGACTAGCTACTGAATATTAATTTTCTATTTAATAAAAATAACTTTATTTATGATTGTGTTTATATTTCATTGTAGATATTAAGAAAATATTATGCAACTATTTTGATAATTGAATTAATATTTCATTAAGCATGATTGGATTGAAATAAACTTAATTTTATTGTACAAAATGGCTACAAGCACTCTGTAAAAATATATGAACATTTTCAGAAATTATAATTATTATGACTTGTTAAGTAAGTTGCCAACTATAAATTTAAAAATTTTTTTTTTTTCCTATTGTAAATTTTGTTTTTAGTTACTTCTTCATACTTAATCTAATTCTAAATTTGTTGTTTTTAATTTTATTTCAGTTTTTAGTTTTGATACCTGCTGTTGTCAGTACTTTTAAGTTTACAGCTGTAAGTAAGATATTTCGATATCAAAAAATTAATATTCTAATTATATTAAGAAATAAAAATGATTTAATAATGATTTTGCTATTACCATGACAATATTGTGAAAAATAATTGAATAGCAAATAAATGCAAAGATCTCAAAACAACTTGAGTGAGTTAAATAAAATAAATTTTGCTTTTTAGCATTGCCATTTTTATCATATGTAAATTAGTTTAATTTGTTTTAAATTTAATTTCAGTTACAAATCTAATGTCTACATTATATTAAAGCAATTCACCGTAGTATGAAATTGATATTTAATAATAAGTATTATAATTTTTATGGAGAAATTATAAAGTATATATTACTTTTATGGCAAACATATATAAAAGTTAAAGGACTTGATGTAATACTTAAAAAAAAAAATTGTTTCTTATTGGTCTACAAGGAATTTTCATCAGAGATCAAAATATACATTGCTAAACCAATTTTCGCGCCTATTTCAAATCTTCAATTAGAGTTTCGCATATTGACTAAGTAATTACAAAATCCTTCTAATTACTGACTTAAAAGTCAATTACTGACTTTTCAGTGATTTTTTGTGGCTTTTGAATTTAATATTTTATAGTTTTTAAATTAATAATATTTTTAATTTTATTTAAAAAAAGATAGCTTGAAGAAGGGGGTTTGAACTTTGTAACCCAAACAAATAAGACTATAATAGTCTGTAGTGTGAAAACAAGTTTATACCTATTTATTAATCTCGAAATTGATTCCCCAGACTCATTAAATACAATTTTGATTGGTATTATCTTTAAAAATCTAATAATACCTACAGTTAATAGATAATTTTATTTAATAATATACATTATTAATTAGATAATTTGTGTTAAAAAACGTCAGTGCATCATTTACACGAGCTTTAGAATACAACAGGTCAAATTTATAAGCAATTTTTAATTTAATTTTTTTGTATATTTAAAATTTTTGCATGTGTGAACTAATACAACCATACACAATTGCCATTATTAGTGAGGAATGTATGAACGAGGTGTTTTGATGTTCACATGAAAAACAGAACGCTGCTAATGCTTTCGAAATTTATCGCCAAATATTGATAGATTCAAATTATTTATCTTCAACAGTTGATAAAAATTTTTCCAAAAATAATGGATGAATTATGGCCATATCAATAATTAATGTATTAAATGACTATGAATTTAAGGAAGATAAAGAATATTTTTTAAGCTGTGAATAATCCGAAGAATCGTTTTTAGATGAGGCAGTTAAGAGCTCTAGTTCAACAACTTTATAATTAGTTCCGATAAATTGAAATCTCCATTAAAAAAAAGGCATTCATATCGATTAAAACCAAGTTTAAAATTGTTCAGATTGCTAGAGAACACTCTAATTGGGGCTTAAAAACATTACAACGGATGTACTTTGTTGAAAAAAAAGGAGTATTTAAATCGTTGGGAAAATAAAATTTTGAACTGCGGTGTAAAGGAGTGCTATGAAAAAATTAATAAGTGGACTTATGATTGCTTTTATGAAGCTAGAATGAACAAACAACTTGTTACAACAAGGATGATTCAGCAATGGGCGTCAGCAGCCGCAGTGCGATTGTTATCTTTACTTTGTTGATAATATTCGGGTAGCTCCAAATTTCTATTTAGTGGTGGTCGGACGATCGCTGTTATGCAACAGTGAGGAGTACACGCCGCAGCGGACGGGTAATGGCTTATGCGTCGGCAGTTATTATATTGACAATATACAGATTCTGGAAGTCAGATTACAAGGCGTAGCAGACGGGCAACAGTAGTTATTATACATTATAACTGTGGCTCCTGACTGTCCGCCCCACGGACTGGACGGTCCGTGTTTTAGGCCACTTATTAAGATTACACATTGAATAATTATTTTGGATTTTCAGTTTAGTTATTATTATGTTGTAATGAGAAATAATATTAACTCCGGTTTGAATTATTTTTATACTAAATTACTAAAAATTTTGTAAAAATGGTCCTTAAAACCATGTGAGACATATTTAAATTATATAAAGGGAGAATTTTTAAAATAGAAATAGATTAATTTTCGTTTGACGTCATTCATAATAATGAAAAATTATTAAAATTTTGCAAGGCTATTATTTCGAATGTATTAAAATTTACTAAGAAACAGTGGAGATCGTGTATATTCAGAATTAGATCTTTTTTTATAATGTTATCCACAATGTAAATGAATAAATATAAAATGTTAATTAAAATTAAATTTAATCATTTTTGTCATATTATAAATGAAACATTTTTGTGTACATATAAATTAATAATGAGATATGAATGATATCAAAGTAATTAAACAACTAAATATATCTATTAAAATATATTTTTAATAAAAAATTTGAGTTAATTTAAATTAAATTAATTATAATATTTTTGCAGAAATATATGAGATAATTTTAAGTTAATTAATGCAGGTAAAATAGATGAGTTAAGAGATAGATTAGTTAGATTTTACAAAGATATTATACAATTAGAAAACAGACAGTAATTTAACCTTAGTAGAAAAAGATTTAATTTTAAAGGAATTGTCCAATAACATATTGATATATTAAAGTTAGAACACGTTTAGGTTTATATGTGTCTAGTCCAGAATCAGTCTCTAATCTTCTTAATACCCCAGAAAAAATTCTGATAACTTATTAAAAGATAGTAAATAATTATATAAAAAATTTAATGATAAAATGGATCTTATAGTTGACAAAGTAGAAAAAGTTTTAGAAACTTATATTTTAATGACATAAATATAGACAATGAATTTATAAATACTTTACAAAATAATTATTTAAAAAATAAGATTTGTCTGTACTCATAGAATTGTATTTTGGTAAATAGTATTTGTATTTTTCATATTATTTAATATTATTCGTAATATTAGCATCAACAAAATAATGTTCTCTTAAAGAATTTTTTTTGACAAAAAAAAATTATTGATTATTATTGGCTTAATTATTAAAATTATAAAAAAAAACATCCATATTAAATTATAATCTATTTATTGAAGAACTTAAATGTATAATTATTTTTCATGTCAACTAATTTCTTTTTGTAACAATTTATATTATGTACACTAAATTGTGTTATAAGTTAGTTTAACATTTTTTTGAAGGTACCCAAGCTTCTATTTTCGGCCTTACTGAACTATAAGGAACATATTGGCCAGATGTTCCAGTTAAATTTTCTGTATGTTTTGCCATCCAACTGTATTTTGGTCTCGATGGATCCTATATAACAGTAATACAAATAATTAATTTTAATATCTATTTAAAAATTAATTCATGTATGTATAATAAGTTAATATATATACTTTTTAAAGTTTGTTTTTAATAAATTTGGGTAAAATGAATTTTAGGTTAAAAATATTTTTGATGGATAAAAATGTAAATATAAGTGTACTTTTTTGACAAAATGAGTTAATAGATTTAAATTTTAGAATCATAGAGTTTTTATGTAGATAGATACATTTTTTTGTGGTACTATTCATTTTAAATCTAAAAAAATTGATACACAATACTCATAATTATTAAAAGTTATTTCAGAAAAAGAGATGTTAACATATTTGTTTAAGCTTTATGTTAATTTTTTAACAAAAGCAACATCATGATTTGAGATAATAACATTTATATTTAATAAAATACCTTAAAAAATTACACTTTTCCTATCTTCTTAAATTTATTAATCATAATTTGTTCACTATGCATTAATAAAAAAACCAATTAATGTTAGCTACAACAGTAAATGCTTATGATGAGTTTTTGTGTTTTCAAACTACAGTGAAATCTCTTTGAATTTCTTTTATTTATTATATTAAAACTTAATATCTTGAATGTTATCTGTTCCCCTTTATATTTAAAAAAAAAAGAGTTTACTGCTTATCTTTGATTATTAAGGGGTTTCAGAGAAAAGGGGAGTTTTCAATTGGGTTTAAGATAATTGTGAATTGTTTAAATCTAAATACCATTTAAGAGCGATATTTTAAACAAATTGCACAATGTTTAAATTCAATAATCTTGGAATAAATACTTTGTCATTTTAACCTCTATTAATTATCTAATTCTAAATGTTTCAAATAAAAAAATATATTTCATATGACAAATATTCTTTATTTTATCATTGTTCTTTTTTGACAGATTTAATGTATATCACATTTATTTGATCATTTTTAATTCAAATTTACTCCTAAAATAATAAATTTCCAAAGCTAATTTTTTTTACTTACGTTGTATGGAAGTAAATCAGTTTTGTAGTGGAGCCATCCATACCATTCAGCTGGGATTTGGCTAGCGTCATAGTCCAAAAATACTTTCTCATTATATTCTACCCAACGGTTACGGCCTATTTTAAAAATAGTAAAATATTAAATAAATAAATAATTTTAATGTTTAAGTAATTTTTTATCATAATAATAAATTAATAATATATTAATACTGTATTACCATAAAAATATAAATTGTTTTCATAATACCGATTACCCATTTCATCGGTTCCAACTAAAGTACCAATTTTTAATTCATCTTGTCTGTAAAACAATATTAAACAATAACTTAATATATAACATATATTAAAGTTCAGATTAATTTGTATTTGAATATACAATATAAAAATATATCTTTTGACAATTAGTTATTGGAAAATTATTTCATAGGTTTTAGTTATGACCTCATATAAAAAATACTCATATATGACATTAAAAAAAATATTTTTTAGAGTTGCTACAAATTTAAAAATTACAAATTCCCTAAATTTTCAATCAATTTGTAAATAATTCAATACTTGACAATAGGACAAAAGTTAACATTACTTATGGTGGGAGAAGGTTTTTGTTTATCTATTACGGTTGAGAACACCAATGTTTTACCATTAAGTTTATTTACCAATTGAAATTTTGGATTAAGGAGGTGTTCAATCTCAAAAACATTTAATATATCCCCTTTCCTTGTACAAAATCATAATATAATATTATGGGATTGCTTGTATATAGAAACCAGCCTTAATTTTTAATATAATTTGATTGTAAGTAATAAAAATTGTAAAAGAAAGATTTGAACTTAAAACACCATAAAGTTTGTCATAGTAACAAGAAAATTCATAATGAGCTATTACGTTTATTTAAATATACCATGTATACAGGTGTTTTTTTAAAAGTGTAAATTCAGGGTTAAGGAGTAAAATTATTATGTTAGATTTCAAACAGCTAATCACACCTTTAAGTAGTACTCATAAACATTAAAAAAAGAATAATAAAAGGCAACTTTTAATTCAACTTTAGAGATTGAGGGTTAACATTATTAAAACAGATTTCAAATGCTATATTTTAGCATTTTATTTAACTAACTAAAATTAATTATTTTTATATACTATTGTATTTAGCTTTATTTTAATACTAGTCAATATATTTCTTTTAAAATAATAACTATTTTGTGAATTATTTTGGCATTTATTATTTATATATGTATCTTCATTTATCTAATGTAAAATAATTTTTAGATCTATCTTTTATATCTTATAGGAGTATAAACTTAATTTTTTTAAACGGTAACATATATATTTAACTATAATTTAAAGTGTAATTTAAAAAATGAAGAGTTGATAACTTTTGAACCAGTATTTAAATATTTATTAATAATTTAAAGTAATGACAGGAGATAAGGAGTGAGCGCTGCTTTTTATCAATAGACATTTCTGTCTCACTTTTATTCATGCATAGGTATAAAAATTTTAGTAACTAAAAAAAACCAAAAAATCACAAAAAAATAATTCTTTCAGGAGATATCTATTAGCTAGCTTTGAAATAATCACTTTATGTTTATAAAGAAGGTAGGATAGTTAACATTTAAAATTAGCCACTTGGATTTAGATTTTTAACCCATAAAAGAAAGAACAGATAATTAAAAAAAAACTGTATGTTAAAATATACTTTTTATATTGTTTTTATAAAATGTCTACAAATGAATTATATAATTAAAGATTACTTTAAGATATACAAATGTTTAAAAATGGAAGTAATCAAATGATTACTACAGTGAACACTACTCTAATTATACCTTAAAAGTAGCTTATTGAAAAATAGTTCACTAATTTACATTTAAAATATAAAACATATTTTACTTACCTAAACAATTTTTTAAAAGCCGCAAGTGGACCACCATTGGCTTTTATAATGTTAAGTCCAGTGGTAATCTTATTGAACGGAAATATTTTGCTCATTTTTGTAAATGAAATGTACAATATAACAGAAATTTAGAGGACTTTACATGTTTGATATCTAATATATTTTTTTTATCAATATTCATTATCAGCTGTTAAAAATTATTTTTATTGCTTTACTTATGATATAATGATATCTATAAAATAATTTTTTCTATAAAAACAAACAAATTAAAACAATCAATTAAAATTATTTATGAGACAGTTAATAAGCTCTAAATTACTTTCTCTATTAATTTAAAAACAGCATGCTTTTGAAAAAAAACTTTGTAAGATGTTAATTTAAAACTTAGATTTAATACTTTTATACTAGATAGCGCTATAGTATAACAATACACTTAAAATATCCAGGGCACCGGAACTATTTTTACAAAAATTTAATGACTAAAACTCGGTCCCCGTGATTGTTACTAAGCTAAAAAGCGTGTTAAGCTATTTTTTTATGGATTTTAGTGATCATATAGAAAAAAATTCGGTAAATTATAAATTTTCCTCTTAATAAAACACATTATTAGCTTCAATGCGAAGCTGAGAAGATATTAATTTTACTAATATGTGTTTATTTATTTAGATTTAAATCACAAATCGTATCTAGTTGAAGATTTTACCCTAAAAAATTGAAAATTTTTCCCTTGTTCCCCGTAAATGGTAAATATCTCCCAAAAATTACGATTTTTAAAATCGGTCAATTTCGACATTTTTTCTATTGTTTTACTTAAAACTGCCATAATTTTTTTAAAAATGACGAAATTTACCATAATTTTTTTTTATAGATGCATGATGTCTTTACCTATTATTTGGTATGTATTTTTTATAAATCTGTCCCTTTACCTGCACACAAGAGGGGATTTAAAATGACAACTTTTTCAACATTAATTTTGAAAATGTTCCGGAAATACTGCATTTTTTAAACACATGTCTAATTTAAACTTATTTTACGTACTATAAATTAAAAAAAAACGGTAGCACAGTGTGGTCGCGGCACAGTATGGACGTGGCATAGTTGGGACAAGTATAGATGATATCTGACAGTGATTAAAATCACTACTATTCAATGCAAATCTGTAGATAGTGTTTAATTTTAAGAAATTGGTAGATTATTTCAAAAGCAACTACACCCAAAGAAAAACCTCAATCAGTATTGATAGAGAAATTTTATCAAGGGTTTATGATAATGTTTTATTAATACGAACAAAATAACTATTCTTATAAATAATTATTGTTCATATTGATAAATATATCATAGATTCAATAGTAATGATATATTTATTAAATTGAACAATGAATTTATTATATAGATCGAGGTTTTTCTTTGGGTACATAACTCTTATTCCCTTAATTTTATCCCGATTTATAATTATAATATATGAATACATAATATCTATAGTAATTAAATTTAGTATGAAATTGATATTCAATAATTAAATATTGTAATTTTTAGGGAGATATTATAAAAATAAAAAGGAGTTATATTCATATACTTTTATCGCTTATGAAAAAGTAAAGGGATTGATGCAATACTTTTTAATAAAAAAATTTTGTTACTTATGAATAAATACACTAGACTACAAGGAACTTTCATCAGAAACAAACTGTTTAATTGATAGATTAGAATTTTTTTTTCAATTTTTGAGAGTAACATCTTCAACTAGATACGAATTGTAGTCATTTGAAGTATCGTTGAAAAAAGTAGGTCAAGTTAGAGCAGAGAAAATAAATGATAGTCACAAAAAATATCATTTCTCAAAAATGAGAATCAAAATTCTCAGTTTTGCATCGAAGGTATAACCTAAAATATAGTAAAATAATATTAACATGAATAAAAAATTTCTTCTCGCGAGTGGCGACTACAGTGATGGTATCCTTGATTTTTATTGAAGTTATTGAATCTAAATGAGATAAAAATCAATGTAGTTGAAAATTTATTCTATCTTCAAAAAAAAATTAAGAAAAAATGCAAAAAATTCCTTACCATAAGCGAGTTGGGACCTTGTACCCTAAGCTCGTAAAACACAAGTTTTAACAACTCGGCAACCATACGTTGCTACCGTTCGGCTGAAAAAATTGGCTAATTAAGCTAGTTCAAATTTCAAAGTTATTTTTCTCGGCTTAAAAGAAGCAAACAAATTTAAATAAGTTTAACTTTCTATGCTATATCAATTTTTTATTTATATAATATTTATGAAAATCTGTACTTCCCTTGTCAGGTATTTTAAATTAAAATAAAATACAAAACCCAGAATTTTAACTCAAAAATATCATATTTTTGAATACGGTAGTCATTTTTACCATGAAGACAAATCCAGAGGTCAAATTATTTTTTTTCAAATTAAAGTATATTACATAAGCTATAATTTAAGATATATATATAAAAGTGTCAGTATTTCCGGAATACTTTCAAAAATTAAATTGAAAATGTCCTAGTTTCAATACGCATGTTTAAAGTTTTAACCCCACTTGTATAAAGGGATCCGATTTACAAAAAAAACATGTCAGATGAAAGGGGTATATAAAAAATTTATTATAAAAAAATAATAATATTGATCCATCACTTTTCAATAAGTTATAGCATTACAAAGTAAAAAATGTAAAATATAAAATCGAGAAATTTCACACAAAAATAGCATTCGGTAACCATTTTCACCACAAAGACAAGTCCAGAAGTCAAATATATTTTTTTCAAATTAAAGTATATTACATAAGCTTTAATTTAAGATATAAAAGTGTCAGTCTTTCCGGAACATTTTCAAAAGTTAAGTTGAAAAATTTAATTTTTTTAAAAAAAGTTACCATTTTGAAACCCTTTCTGTGGGCTTTTAAAGGGTTAAATGTTCACAAAAATATATAAAATGATAGGTAAATACCTAAGGTATCTATAAAAAAGAAAATTATATTAATTTTGTCATTTTTAAAAAAGTTATGGCATTTTTAAGTAAAAAAAATTGAAAAAATGTCGAAAATTAGCGATTTTTAAATTTGTAATTTTTTAGGGGATTTCTCCCGTTTACGGGGAACGAGAGAATTTTTTTAAAATTTTGAGGATAATGTCTTCGACTAGATACGATTTGTAATCTTTTGACATATTTATCATTAAAATCGGTCCAGCGAGAGCTGAGATTGAGCGTTCACAGACAAAAAAAATAATAATAATAATAAAAAAAAACATATCATAGTAAAATTAATACCTTCTCAGCTTCGTATCGAAGCTAAAAATTGTCCCGATGACCTATTTTCTTTATGCAAATGGTTGCCGTAATTAAACAAATGCTATTTTTGTGCTCAAATTTTATTTCTTATTGTTTATTTTAAAATACTTTTATAAGGGATTGCCATAGTAATGAGTTCACCAATAAATATAAAATTTACATGAATCTAACTTATATTAAATTTATATTTATACTTATTTTGATAATTTTGCCACTTCAAAGTTATGAACATTTTTTTTGAAAACTTGAAAATTTGTATAAAATGTAGAACTTTTTTAACTTAACTTTTGAAAATTTTTAGTTTTTTAAATATATATTAAGATAAAGCCTATTTTATGTACAGGAAGTTCAAAAAAAATTGTACTGAGGACCTATTTTCTATGCGCAAATGATAGTCGAAGTAAAAAAAAAAATAGGAGTTAATTTTGCTTATGGAATAATCCACCAATTTCTTAAAATTAAACACTATCTACAGATTTGCATCGAAGCGTTTCTTATGATAGTGAATTTAATCAGATATCATCTATACTTGTCCCAACTATGCCATTTTCATACTGTCCCACGACTCTACTGTGCACCATTTTTTGATATTCAACTGGAGTTAGGTAAATTCATTAAAACTTTTTAATCCTAAAATCTGAATAGCTAAATAATTAAGTGTGGTAGTGTTATATTAATTTCCAGATTCATTGTAACTTTTTTTGTCATATTCTATTGGGGGGGGGGGAATAATGATACATTTGCTCCCTCTTATTTTGACTAAGGGGGAAACTGCCCCACCCTACCGGTTCCGGGGCCACTGAAAATACCATTTTTAAATGTTGACAAATGACTATGAAACATATTTAAGGGTTTTAAAATGTTTAAATATTATGCAGCTGTGTACACTTTATCTATTTAAAAACCCGTCAAAAAATACTCTGAATGTTTCCTTAAAACGATAAAACAAAATAATAAAATCTATAATTATACATTTTGTTTATTTTATGATGTCAAGTAAAACTTATTTTATTATTTATTTATATTTTTTTTCTTTGTCATATTCATTTAAAACAGAATAAATAATTAAAGATTAATATTCTTTCTCAGTTTTTAATATGGGCAAATCACTACTTTTTTCTTACGTTTTTTTTAACTGTTATTGTAAAAAAAATTGGAATAATCCATTCAGGCTTACGTAAAATAACAATAATATATCGTTTTCGTAAAAAAATTATAATTATAATTTAAAACATATGTGTTTTTATTAAACTATTCTTGAAAATTTAGTCATTGTTTGGTTAGTGTACTAACCAAAAAAATTTCGAAACCATTACTATTTTTACATTAGTATATTTTTAATACAACAAGATCATTCAGCCCTAAGCATCAACTTGCCATGTTCCATTATAATAAGTGCTACGATTACGGTGCTTTTATTAATATGGCGTTTTGCAATATTATTATTATATCGATACATTTACTCGTTTTTTCTAATGGAGGTATATTATAAAAAGTATTTTTTTTAACATACAACTTCTATTGAACTATTTTAAAATTTCAGCTTTTTGTACATCTCCAATAAACACGGAGTACGGTGAGTTCAAAGTATTATAATTTTATTGCTATGTTTTAATTTGCGGGGTAATAGTATCGAATACATAAATAATTACTTAAAAAAAACTTACAAATCGTAAGCAATTTGAACTTTACAAAATTTTTTAACTAAGAAATTTTTTCTATATACTAAGTTCCAAATATAATATTGTGAAGCCGGTGGTCAAAATCAAATAAGACCTGTATACCTAGGGGTGTTCCTTCGATTTAAATAGGAATACTATTTAATATAAATAATCGCCATTGACGTAGTATGATTTCAAGCAAATAAATAAATATAAAAAGAAAATTGATTGATTTGAGATCAGATCTGGCGGAAAATTTTTCGGTCTATGTATTCCCTTGTCGTCTCAACAAAAAGCGGTTTTAACAAGTTCTTTTTATAAATAGTAAAATTCAAAGTATTGCGTTTCTAAATAGTTGAATCGTTAGCATGAGTCACTGCATTCGGGTAAACATTAATATTCGATCTACGTGGAGCTAGCGCAGGCATTTCGTAATTTTTTTGATAATAATAAAAAGGGAATTGGGTTAAAAAAGTTCGTATTTAGCGATCATATTTTTTGGTATAGCAGTTTTTTAAAATGTCGGAAAAACGAAAATGTTATACTGTTTAAGTGTAATAATTGTTCTAATTTAACGATGAAAATTTTGTTGTTATTATTGGTTAAGAATAAAATTTAAGTATAACATATATAGTATAGTAATATTATTAATATAGTATAACATTTATTTTCAAATAAACTTGTCAGTCAATAGTACTATATGATAGTAATTTTGAATTACTAATTTTAATATTTTAATTTAGAATGTTTACATTTCTTAAGGTGATGGTGAAGAAGAAACATGTACTATTTGTTTTGAACAGCCATCAATAGTAATAGTAAAACCTTGTAACCACAAAATTTGTAATAGATGTGCAAATATACTTAATATTTTGAAGATGTTTCCCTGGGATCCAATTTTGTGTCCATGGTGCGTAACAAAAATATCACATTTTGATGGCATAGGTTAGTATGTTGTCATTTCGTAAATAACTCGTACATCAATTTATGTTTTTCTAAATTTCTAATTGCTGTTTTTATTATTTTGATTTAACAGTATTTATTCTATAGAGTTTAACCTGATAATCACGCCTAAATCGTAATTTTATTATAATGATTTATAAATGCGTTTTTAATTTTTTTTAATCACCATCCATCAGTCTACTCTACACAACAAACGAATAAAATAGCAAAATGGTAATTATGAGGCCCCCGAAGTTTTGTCTAATTTCATTAAAACGTAAATAAAAAAAGGGGGTAAAAAATGTATTAAATTGTAGTTATAAGTTGAAGAGGCGCCTCCATTTGTTTTTTATTTTAATATCAACATAAATGTAGCAAATATATTTTAATTTTTGTTTGCCTCTCTCGAGAATAAATAGATATTACGCTTATAGTTTTGTGATTATGCGATAACGCTTTGTAGATACAAAGATCCGGTCTAATGTACGAAAATTTGACTTATGTTAAGGTTTGAGTTATAAAAAAATTAGTTTTCTCTATAGTATAAGAGCCTGGTATAGAATTTTGTGGAATTTCATTTTCATTTTTATAGTTTTATTTTATGATTAGTTGGAATCTAGTTCCAACTAACTGGGACTTTGTTTCAGACCTGAGGACTTCATTTTATCCTTACAGATAGGATACCGATTCTGGTAGAGCACCCGGTTTCGACAAACATTATGAGTGTTTTACAGAAATAGTATTATTTCAGAATTAGAATAACAAAAATATATCATAAATTGAATCAATAAAATAAGTAAAATTCAAAAAGAGTAAATAATGCAATATTTTGGGCATAATATTGAAATTTGTTTTAATAGGTTGAAATGTATTACTATAATATGGAATTTTAAATAAAAAACGAAAATTAAAATTTGTATCAATGTATTTGGTGTAAAGAAAAAAAGTGTGTAACATTGTCTTATTAATAATTATTATTAAGAGTTATTATTATTAATAATGCCAAATTCTTTCATTAAAAATAAAACTGAAAATTTGAGCTCGTAATATTTCCAGCCTTGACAAAAATTTCAGTTTTATTATATAATAAGATTTTTCAATTCAATGTTCTTGTCCGTAATTTAAAAGTTTCCACTTTTTTTTATACTATTCTATTTATTACTATATTTGATATCCAATTTAGCATATAATTACCTACAATTTCTGCATAAAGTTATTCGTTTGTTGAATTTGATTAAAATTCAGACATAGACGGTTTTGTTAGATTTACTGATCACACGTTTAACTTTTGTCTTTAATTAAACAATGGTTTTCGATTTGATCTTATAAAATTTTGACTTAACATATTTCCTAAAAAATACCTAGATGAGTAAGATCTTAAGAGAGAAATTAAACTTATAATCGGCGAAATTAACGCAGTTCGTGATCATTAAATACAACAAGCGAGTAACTGCCGAAATTCTGGAGGATATGCTAAATATGATTTTTGACCATTAATTAATGGAAGATTGAAAATATAAAAAAAAAACTTAAAGCAGATTCATTTTTCACTGAGTTGTCAAATTTACCAAACGATAGTTACATATGTCACACTAACCATTTTATATTTTACACGACTCTAATTAAAACGCCGTCGTTCCAGATAATGTCAGGTAATAGTAAAATACTGTTACCTGACATTAGCTGGACTAACTACATTATTAAGTAATAACCAAGAAATATATATCTTGTATTTTTATTTTTTATTTCAAGACATTTATAAACCACTGTACTTCTACAGGCCTGGTATCATAAAAGTACTGATTCAGAAGTTCACCAGTAATTTTCTTAGATATTTTTTTTTATTTGTGATCTAGTTAATCATTATGGTTTCATTTAAAATACTTTTTAAATTGATAAAATTTAAAGAGGTAGTAAAGAGATAAGATTTTTTTTTTGAAAATTATAAAACTGAAAACAATTAAATTCTAAAATAAAAAAATTACATTCTTTTTCATATTATTATAGATATTGCGTAAATCATATGGAAATTATCACCTGTGAAAATACATATTATTTGTTTTATATAATGAAGAGCTTGCAAAAGTCTGTAGTTTGATTTTTAAAATAAATAAATATTTATTTAGTAAATTACACATTTTTTCTATCGATATTTTGTCTTGAGTTAATATAATAATGGAAGCCGATTTAATCTAATTAATTTAAACACATTAAATAAGTAAAACAAAGAATATATTATAGGTATTATTGAGAAAAATAGACATATTTTGAAGAAAATATGTGATATTGTGCAACCTAATTTTTCTTCTCCTTAATAATACATTTATATAAATTCATATGTAATATTCATAAATAATATTATAATAATAATGTTGTAATAATAATGGTTTGTTACAGAACCAGGAGGCCTAAGCCTTCTTTAAATTGTGTCTTGTTTTTTTTTATACATAGTGACAAAATTTTAATTATATAATATTCATTAATATAATGAAATATTTGTTAAAATTAAAAAATATTTTTCTTTGTACAGTTAAATTTATTAGTAATTTTTTACTTTAAAGTAGTAGTTTTGACAATTTATTGCTAACATTTGATTTCTTTTCCTTATTATGGAGTGAATAATATCAATATTTACATATCGTAGTTTTAGAATCGTTGTCTAGCTGAGAGATTAATATCACGATTAAAAATTATTAGATTATTAATAAAGATTATAAATAATAAATTTTGTTAACTATTATGAAGTAGTTAAATATTGTTTTATTGTTAATTGCTTATATATTATAGTTTTGTTGATAGTTATTATTTAGTCACCATGAATAAATGGTTATTGAAAGTCTACAAAAATATTTAACTGTAATCAATAATTATTTAGTGAGGTCTAAGATTATAGTATTATAGTTCGGCTAATGGGAAAAATTCATTGTGCCTCTCAGTGTAGAATCCATGTATACTTTAGTAGGGCTAAAGGCACCATGATATTTTACAGCCCCTTGACAATCTCAAGTTGACAATGATAATGTAGCTACTTTTTTTAAAATTGATGCAATTTTTCATTTAAAGAGTTGAAAACTATTTTTTGTTTCCTTATCAACTTTTATTTGTAGCAATTCCATGTAAATATAACCAAAAAATGTTTTATCTACTTGTACGAATGCTTAGCCTTTCTAAAAAAAATTCTGAATTCAAAACTGGTTCCTTCATTAAATATGATCCTAGCCAAAATTAAGAATTCTTAATTCTTTTACAATTATTTTAAGAGAAATCTATTAGTTAGTATTAAAAGAATCACCCTTTAAGTATCTTTTTTCCTAAAATAAAAAAAAATATTTTTAGTTAGTTAAATAAAATGATAAAATACAGCATTTGAAATCCACCTTAATAACTTTAACTCTCAATCTTTGAAGTTGCATTATAAGTTGTCTGTTATTATTTCCTTTTTTTAACGTTTATGAGTACTACGTAAAGGAGTAATTAGCATATTACTAATGTACCCCACATTCAAACTTATTATAGTCTCCCTTATAAGTGATGTTAGAATTTTGGGCGGCAATGATAGTATCGCACTTTCTCTACACATTAGTTTTTTTCAAAATTTCTTACCAACTGTTATTTTTTTAAATATTTTATTTTTATTTTAGTGAAGTTGGAAACATGTAAGTGTAAAAAAGAACTACCAACAGTAACTTTAAAACCATGTAACCATAAAATTGGAAATAACTGTGCCATTGAAAAAGAAAAAGTATATTTACCAAAATGTAGTCAATGTAATTCTGAAATATCTAGCTATGATGGATTAAGTATGTATTTATATTTACAAATGATAATAAGTTATTATATTAAAATAATAACTTGAGTAATATAATATTCATTAGATAGATTACCCTATTATTACTGGGCTAGTATAGAAAAATTAAATATAGAGGGTATTGTGATTACATAAATATTAGTTTGGTACTAGTCAGATTTATCAATAGAGGAGATGTAATTATATTAAAATAATATTTCTTCGATATATTATAATTGACATATCACCCTTATATGTTCATATACAATATTAATGTACTGGTGCTAAACTTAATAAAAAGTAATTTTCTTAATTTTTTTTCATCAAATCAAACTGTTTTCGTATAAAGTATACTAATTATTACAGTATTATAAAAAAATATAGTACCTATAATTAAAAAAATATATATACTTTCATCTTCACTATCGGGATGAATTTTTCATACTGTGAAAAATAAAAAATATGCTATTTTTGTGTTAAAATTCTGGGTTTTGTATTTTATTTTATTTTAAAATATCTTACAAGGGGAATACACTGACTTTCATGAATATTATATAATTTAATTGACATAGAATAAAGTTCATAAGACATAAGAAATTAAACTTAATTAAATTTTTTTGCTTTTATAAAGTTGAAAAAGTAACTTTTAAATTTGAATTAGCTTAAATTGCTAATTTTATCATGCGACGAAAGCGACAGACAGTTGCCGAAACGGTAACACTTGTGTCTTTTACGCTAAGGGTAGAGTTTCACATTCGCGTGTGTCAATTAATATTTTGCATTTTTTTTGAGTTAGAAAAAAATTTTCAAATCATTTGATTTTTATCTCATTTAGATTCAATAACTTCAATAAATATCAAGGATCCCATCATTATAGTATCTCTTCGTGAGAAGAATTTTCTTATTCATGTTAATAATATGTTAATATTATTTTATTATATTTTAGATTATAGCTTCGATGCAAAGCTGAGAAGGATTTTTTTTGTGATTATCAATTATTTTCTCTGCTCTAACTTGACCTACTTTTTTCAACGATACGTCAAATGATTACAATTAGTTGAAGATATTACCCTCAAAAATTGAAAAAAAATTCTAATCTATCAATTAAACAATTACTTGTCCCATGTTCTCCATACAGACAATTAAAATAATTTATTTTTAATGTTTTTAAAGTATTTATTGACGAAACAAGTTTGATATGATAGGTTTCAACTACAAAATTAAATCATTTTACTTTGTAATTTCATAATATATTTACTCTATTTGTGTGTGCTACTACTAGATTATAATATTCCAAATTTTTTGATAACATGTTGCTATATAAATCATTTCTAAAAAAAAAATTATTCTAGTTTCACCTGAATTTAACATGGGTTTTTACAATTATAATCAAAATTTATAAAACGCTCAATTGTGTACATTTTTTTTAAATTTTGATTTTTTTTTTTGCTAGTTAAAGTAAAATCATTAAAATTAGTTCAGTTCTGGATATTTCAATTGTAGAATCTTTTTAAACATCAAAACTTACTTAGAAATGATTACTATGATTTCTATTTCAGTTATTTATTACGATAAAAATTCAAAAAAATAATGATTTTTTCTGATAAATATAGTGTAAATAGTAATCATAAAATTTCCTCACTGCATATTAATCTTAAAAATACCATTTTTTTAATTCTCATAAAATTTTCTTTTTAATGATTTCAATTTCAAAATTGCAAATTGAGCTAAAAGTTATGCTAGTAAATTAATTTGTTTTAACTATAAACTTTCAAAAAAATCAACTTTAGAGGATTAACAAAATAGGTTAAATATGTCATTTTCCTTATTTTTAATATATAAATAATCAAAATCAGAATTAATTTAAAACAATTTTCGTTTTTTCTTAATTATTATTTTTATTTGTAAATACTTATTTTTTAAAAATAAGTAATAATATTAAAAATTATCTAAAGTGATAGAAAAAGTTTAATTGCATATTTGAAAACATCGAGAAAAGTTGATTTAGAAAAAAAAAATTTTGTTTTTGATGAAAGTTCCTTGTAGTCCAGCGTATAAACCTTATAATTTTATTAATTAATGTAACACACATTTTTTATTGAAAAGTATTGCGTCAAGCTCTTTAAATTTTTACACGCGTTAAAAGTAAAGAAATATACAACTACTTTATTATTTATATAATGTCTCCTTAAAAATTACAATATTAAATTATTTAACATCAATTTCATATTAGATATAATTACTAAAATTATTATTTATTCCTATTATTCGGTATATTTTTTTTATAAATCTGACACATAACCTACCCTCAGGGGAGTATTTAAAATGACAACTTTTTCAAAAAAATTAACTTTTAAAAATGTTCCGGAAAGTCTGACACTTTTATCTATATCTTAAATTAAAGCTAATGTAATATACTTTATCATTAAAATAAAAAAAACATTTCGGAATTTATTTTGTCTTCACGATGCACTCACATAAAAGTTAATAAAAAAAACCCAACACAGGCTTAGTGGTGACGTAGCATAGTTGGATCAAGTATAATGATATCTGACAGTGATTAAAATCACTATCAAAAAAAAACGCTTCGATGCAAATCTTTAGATAGTGTTTAATTTTAAAAAATTGGTGGATTATTCCAAAAGCTACATGATCTGCTAGTTCATTATTAATATCCTAATTAAGATAAAGTATGTCGAATGAAAAAGGGATTATTAAAAAATATTATTTCCCATAAAAAATAATGTTGATCCATACACTTTTCAATATGTCATAGCATTATAAAGTTAAAAATGTAAAATACAAAATCGAGAATTTTCACACAAAAATAGCATTGATAGCCATTTTTACCGTGAAGATAAAATAAAGTCCGAAATTTTTTTTTCCCATGTTAAAGTATATTACATTAGCTTTAATTTAAGATATAGGTAAAAGTGTCAGACTTTCCAGAACATTTTAAAAATTTAAGTGGAAAAAGTTAATTTTTTGTGAAAAAGTTGTCATTTTAAATCCCACCCGTGGGCAGGTAAAGGGTCAGATTTATAAAAAAAATATATTAAATGAAAAGTAACGATATCATGCATCTATATAAAAAAGTTATGGCAATTTTAAGTAAAAAAATTTGAAAAAATTTCGAAAATTAGCGATTTTTAAACTTGTAATTTTTTTTGGAGGTTTCCCTCATTTACGGGGAACGAGGGAAATTTTTTTAATTGTTGAGGGTAATGTCTTCGACTAGATTCGATTTGTGATCTTTTGACGTATCATTGAAAGAAATCGGTTCGGTGAGAGCAGAGAAAAAGTGGTAACAGACACAAAAAAAAAACACATCATAGTAACATCAATATCTTCTCAGCTTCGCATCGAAACTAATAAAATAATGATGTGAACATAAGCTGATTTAATTTTTCAACTTTTAAGCTATTAAGAAAAAATAATTTATACCTAAATACTAATAACAATTAAGTTATAAATAATTTTTAAAATAAATATAAATTATAAACAATGTAAAATTTATTTTATTTAAAATTAAAAATAATTCCTGCCTTTTTTTAGTCATATTTTTATTACTATTATTTAGATCACGTAAATAACAATTTAACAAAAACAAATAAATTACCTATTTTAACTACTAAATTATAAAAAAAGAAACTAAATAAAGATAAGATTTATCAAAAAAATTTTTCATAGAGTATTACCACAGACTATATGAACATATAATCAACTAGATTCTAATCAATGCAGATACTTGGTAGTTTGTTATCATTCGTTGGCCCAGAGTTAAAAAAAAATTACCCACAACCATGTTTGGAGTAACTGCTATTCCACTTATTATTACGTCTAGAACGTTATCTTTTACAAATAACGTTTTCTATGAATATAAAAATGAAAATACAGCCATAACAATAACTGTATTACTCAATAGTAATCACAAATTAATAATAATTTCAATGTATATAAGGCCTAGCACATTTTTGATAATTCGTAAAAATAATCGAATTTTAAATTTGGGGAGGCCGGCCCTGGGCCACATTAAATCTAAGGGGGGCCAGGCCCACCCATGTCTACGTGCCTGTGTAGACATAGTAATAAATTGGACTTCATTGACATTTTTTAAAAGTCAAATATATATTGAATATTGCAAATAGACTTGTATCAGTCGGTATTAAGAATTCACAGGAAATATTTTATGAAAAAATATCTGAATGTATTTAAGAATATATTAATATTTATTTTCAGTTAATGAACCATATACAAATGAAATAGACGATGAAACTTTATTCAGAGATATTTTTCAGGATCAAGCAGATAACGTTCTCTTTGTATTAAATAACTGTGCTTATTTCATAAAATATTTTTTACATTTATTTAGACGTAATTAAAATTGAAAAGCACCACGGAATAACTAAGTATGTCCATTTTTAGAATTTTTTTTATAAGAAAAAATTTACTAAAAAAAATAAAAACTTAAAAGTTTTTATCAGATTGAATAATCAGTATGATACGCTAATTATGTCTCACACAATATCTTTAAAATGATTAGGTAAAATATAATTTTTTTTTTTTTCAGAAGTTATTAGATTTTGACCATACCTACTTTAATGTCATTAAAGTGTCATTGTGTAAGATATAATTAGCCTATCAATCTGTATAATATCCGTTTAATTATAAATCCTGTTTTAGTACTGTAGTACACAAGAAAATGCATGTAAACTGATATAATATGATTTTCTGAAAAAATTGGACTTGTATTGTTATTACACTATGCTCTTCAACTTAAACAAGTTATTATTTAAGATTATTTACTGTTTTTATTTGATAACTATTATTGTATGAACATTGCATAAGAAAAAAAATTCTATTTTATACAATATATTGTGGTTACTTAAAAATAAAATGTATATCAATGTTTGATACTCTTTGCCCCCTGTAGATTTTGTGGCACTTAAATAATTAAAAAATAAATAAATAAATAAAATCAAATATTTACTTAAGTTATATCATCTTTTAAAAAAAAGAAATATTTTTTATACTTACGTAGTTGAAAGCACGTGTATAAAAACGTGGATTAATTCTAAATTCAAAATGAAACTTAAAAAACATTATTAATATATCTAGGTTCTCATTTTTTAGGAACAATTAAAAAACCGGTTCTTGAACCGGAATAGAAATATTTACATAAAAAAAAAGGAATCTTTAAAAATACAATTTTTTATCAGCTATTATTACTATTATTTTTTTCGTAAAATGGCTTTAGATGTATCATCAAGATGTTAATATGTGTAACGTGAAAAAAAGTGACCTCTTCATTTTTTTGTATATTTGTATTGTAATTATCTTGGTTGAGCCCTATGCTTGCTGCGACCGCGTTAATCATCTATATATTTATCAGATAAGGAGGTGTTGTAATTTGTCTATGCGATTGTGTGCACACCCACCTCGCCCCTTTCCTCTCTTGAACGTCAATTGCACTGCTCACCAACTGTATTGTCATCTAGTGATAAATTCATTTGCGTTTTCCTCTATAACCTCCGGTACTGATTTTAACAGAATTGGTCAACCGACAAAGGCTAGTCGAAGAGTCGCCGGGTCAAACGTCGGGCAGTTTGTCGAAGAACAGCAACAGTCGTAGTTGGTTGTACTCTTTCCCGACAGAAGTGATTGAGTTTTGTGCGCTGCAACATTGTGTTTTTTTTATATTTTTTCAGGTGTGTCCGATGTACATTTAATTATGTAATTTATTTATTTTTTCGGCGTCGGCGAAATTTGCCTAATGTTTCTATAGTCCTTCAGGGCTGGTAATGTACTAATATTTTTCAACGTTTTGAGCCAAATATTTTTATATTTATTTTAGTGCGCCGTGCCATAAGCACGTGTGGCCTAATTTATTATTATTATTTTTTTTTTGTAGGCTCTTCCTAAACATTGTAGCTGTGTTCCGATACCAACTGTCATGTTTATATAGTTTTTGTGATTTTTATAAGATTTTAGGTGCCCAATCAGATGGACAAGTCAAAATAACGTTCACTTGATATTATATAATTATGCAGAGCGTACCACTTTGATTTACAAATTTGAATTTATATATATTAATGTTAAAATTAGTAAATCACGTTGGGACACTTTATTTTTGTGTGTGATGAATATTTTGATGACAATTTGGTGACGCAATGCATTTTATTTTGTTGTGTTCCAACGTCTTGCAAGTTAAGTCTAACTATTTAAAACCAATCGCTTACTTGGGACGTATACCAGCCCTGCTTTAGTGGTAATACTGTGCATGACGACTGGCGGGTACCCGAAGTTGTTCATCGTCTTTACCACAAACACTTTTTTTTTTGCATGATCCATCTTTAATGGACTCGTATATTTTGTACTTCTCTCCCTTCAAAAATCATCATCTTCTAGTTTGTAAGGTACGGACAACGACCTTGTATGAGGTCATCTTATTTAATTATATTTATGTGACAGCTTGTCACGAGGTTTGTCGTGCATCAATGATCAATGACTTAACGGGCATCAGTGACAGCTTTAATTAATAAGTCTACAGTTATCTTAATATTTACTTAATATTATTATGACTTGATAAATTATAAAAAAACCCAGCACAGGGGGGTGGTGGCACAGTGGGGACATGGCATAGTTGGGTCCAGTATAGATGATATCTGACAGTGATTAACATCACTATCACAAAAAACGCTTCGATGCAAATCTGTAGATAGTGATTAATTNAAGCAACATCAACTTCTATTAAAATAAAATACAAAACCAAAAAAAAATTTGTTAAAATAGCATATTTTTTAATATGGTAGCCATTTGCGCATAGAAGATAGGTCGTCGGGACAAATTTTCTTTTTCATTTTATTGTACATAAAATAAGCTTTAATTTGATATATGTTTAAAGGACGCAATATTTCCGGAACATTTTCAAAAATTAAGTTGAAAAAGTTATTTTTTGTAAAAGAGTTACTATTTTAAATCCTCCCAGTGAGCAGAATAAGTGTTAGATTTTCAAAAAAAATTATATCAAATGAAAGGGAAATATCTAAGGTTTCAATACAAAAAAATATTATTTTTATTTGTTCATTTTTGAAAAAGTTATGGCAGTTTTAAGTACAAAAAACATCCCGATATAATATAATTTTTATCGCAAACATTACATTTTTTTTTAAATTTTCGACAGCCATTTGCACATAGAAGATAAGATGTCGGGACAAATTTTTTTTTTTCATTTGATAGTATATAACATAACCTTTAATTTGATATATGTTTAAAGGACGCAGTATTTCCGGAACATTTTCAAAAGTTTAGTTGAAAAAGATCTATGTTTTTTACAATATTTCAAGTTTTGAACGGCCCCTATATAAGGGGAAATTGTCCAATTTTAATAAAAAGTATGTCAAATGAAAGATGTACTTATAATGTATTTAGAAAAAAAAAATTTGTGCTGATATATACATTTTTCAAAAAGTTATAGCATTTTTAAGTTGAAAATTTAAAATCGAAAATCGAAAATTTTAACACAAAAATAGTGTTTTTTTAACTACGGCAGCCGTTTAAATGTAGAAAAAAAAGTGTCGGGACAAATTTTTTTTTTTCATTTTATAGTACATAAAATAAGCTTTAATTTGATATATGTTTAAAGGACGCAGTATTTCCGGAACATTTTCAAAAATTAAGTTGAAAAAGTTATTTTTTGTAAAAAAGTTACTATTTTAAATCCCCCCAGTGAGCAGAATAAGTGTTAGATTTTCAAAAAAAATTATATCAAATGAAAGGGAAATATCTAAGGTTTCAATACAAAAAAATATTATTTTTATTTGTTCATTTTTGAAAAAGTTATGGCAGTTTTAAGTACAAAAAACATCCCGATAAAAGGTAATTTTTATCGCAAACATTACATTTTTTTTTAAATTTTCGACAGCCATTTGCACATAGAAGATAAGATGTCGGGACAAATTTTTTTTTTTCATTTGATAGTATATAACATAACCTTTGATTTGATATATGTTTAAAGGACGCAGTATTTCCGGAACATTTTCAAAAGTTCAGTTGAAAAAGATCTATGTTTTTTACAATATTTTAAGTTTTGAACGCCCCCTATATAAGGGGAAATTGTCCAATTTTAATAAAAAGTATGTCAAATGAAAGATGTACTTATAATGTATTTAGAAAAAAAAAATTGTGCTGATATATACATTTTTCAAAAAGTTATAGCATTTTTAAGTTGAAAATTTAAAATCAAAAATCGAGAATTTTAACACAAAAATAGTGTTTTTTTAACTACGGCAGCCATTTAAATGTAGAAGAAAAAGTGTCGAGACAAATTTTTTTTTTCATTTTATAGTGCATAAAAAAAGCTTTAATTTGATATATGTTTGAAGGACGCAGTATTTCCGAAACATTTTCAAAAAATAAGTTAAAAAAGTTAATTTTTGTAAAAAAGTTGCTATTTTAAATCCCCC